CTGATGCTAATCTAGTCTAGGCAGGGCTCTTTTTGTAGAAAAAGCCCAGCAGGAACTCATTAGCATAACAGGCCACACCCAACAGCTGAAACTCATTAGCATAGTAGGCCACACCCCGACAGCACAGCTCATTAGCATATTAGGCCACACCCCCATGTCACCAGAAGTGTTGTCATCCAGCCACACCTACCTTTTGCTTCTTATTCTGTTTACCTTGTTTGTGGTCAAAACCCAGGGCCTTTTTTTGTAGCAGGAACCCTTTGCATGTTAGACCACACACCCCTAATGTAGCCAATCTTAATGAGTTTAGGCGGTTGGGTGTGGCCTATTATGCTAATGAGTTCCTGCTGGGCGTGGCCAACTCAGGAGCCAGCCGGAACTCCGTTCCTGTGCGTTCCTGCCCAAAAATAGCCCTGAATTGTTCCAATATGACAGACTGCCAGCCACTTCATAGGCAGGAGGGAAGAGGTAGAGATGAACACGGAAAACTGAGGAGAGTGCCAGGCGAGATGAAAGCCGTTCCTGTGCGTTCCTGCCCCAAAATAGCCCTGAGTCTAGGAAATGTGAGGAACGCTAGCTATGTTGTTGGTGCAGTGTTTCCAGTTGTGTGCTCTTCTTTAATAAACACTTCAGATGCAAAGCCAGTTCATATAGTTAAATATGTTTGTGGTACTTACTCTCATAAGACTGCCTGTTTTAGGATACTGGCTTTAGCTTACAAAAAAACTTTGCTCCAGTTCAGTATTTTGCCCTGAAGGTACAGGCTTTCCACACCCCACAAAACATTGTCACACATTCACAAGGCCAAAGCCAAATCCTGAGAACAATATAGGGATTATTATTATGTGCTCAAGCAAAACCCCTGACTATTCAAAATGGCAAACGTGAACCTGACAACCGAACTCATGCTCTTAAAGTGGCAGGACCACACGGCCATTCTGTAGTTCATTTATCTTTCAAGGACTTTTGTGTGTTAGTCTTCAGAATACTCTAACCCCTTTCCTGGTTGTTTGCTCAAAGATTTTTGAAAAGTGGATTGTATTAGGATGTGGCTGGAAATCATTCGATTACACGTTGATGGAGTCCCAAAACCTGCTG